TTATATGTGCAATACATCTGTGCTTATATGTAAAGTCTGGTTGATATTGTGTCTCTAGTATTTGAAGTCAAGACCAAGTGCCCCACTGACCTCAGGAACAGACATATAGCCTCTTGACTAGTAGAATCTTTGACTTTTTATTTTATGGTATTTCTGGGTGTAAGTGCTTGCCCTGCCACAGCCACTAACATTACATAAAAGCCAACAGCGTGTTCTACAGGGACAACACAAATCCGAAGGAGGCTGTTGGTCACAAACAGTCATTATATAATGCTGGTTACATCTGCATAAGGTAACAACAGCACATCCTATATGGGATTGTTCACCTGAAGACTGGTGTTGCAGAGAATAAATGCATACTTAATTGTTAGAACTTTGGCTTTTTACATTGGAAAGTATTTACCTTTAGAGAACCTTAAGCCGCTTGTTTAACATTTACTCTGTACCTTTAATCAAACAGGAAGGTTTTATATAACCATTAAACAAAAAAGTTGTGGTAAACAAGTATATGGTATATTGGTACATAAAAACTTTTAGCCTTTTTTAATATAATTTCCCTCTAGATAATAACATGCAATTATTTTCTATCATTTCCCCAGACCCAGACCAAATGCCTTTAGCCAAAACTGGGGAGTACACATTTATTCTCTCACATTTCACTTAAGAAAAAAAATTGTTCTTTGTATAATGTAGTCATCATTTAGAGAACACATAAATCTTACACTGTTATTCCATTCATAGGGGTTTTTTTCCAAACTGCCATGCCAAATTAATCCCTGGTGCAATATTGTGTCACCAGTGAAGCTGTGCCACTTACTTGCTTGGACTCTTTAGTTTTAATTGAAAGATTTATCATTGCAGAGTTTCTTTGTCTTCCGTACATGCATCCTTGGAAACCCTGAGTGTTTTGCTGTTATTGTCTCCTTTATATAGTTTATGCTTTCCTTCTTTTTAAATCATGGTTTCCTTTAATGGAACACACAGAAAGTTTTCTCATATAAGAAAAATAAAAACCCCACTGTGATTTATACCTGACTCGTATAAATACAGTTATGCAACTTTATTTAGCTTTGTTGTGTTTATTACACTTAATTAAATAATTTGTTATTGATAATGAGTAATCTTGCAAGTTGTATTATAATAAAATGCAATAGCTTGTTCTTCCTCATACCAAGAATGTCCCAGGTGTTGGAATCATTGATGAATAGAGGTGGGGGTTTTAATTGCAAAGATCCAGGTTTGATGAATATTTTAAATACTTTGCCAGTGATACTGTACACAGAATATCCACAAGAGGGAACTGTTTTACATAGAGAGGAGCAATTTCCTTGCTGCTAAAACACTGTTTTCTGGAACCAAACCCTCCAGAATTATGTTGAGTTGGCATGATTGTGTCCTTGACTATGCTATATGGTAGCAACAGGAAAAATACAGGTAAGCACAGTGTTTGTTATGTTCTGTAAATAGTACTGTTAAATAAATTTCGAGCTCTTGTGTTGAAATATTAGGTAGACAACTAATCTGAAAACTAATAAGTGAAAGTTTTCTGTTTGCTTGGAATAGATCTCTCCAGGAAACAGAGCTGGAAAATCCTGTTTAGTCTGAAGGCAACATGAAATGCCATTGTTGCCTCAATAAATGAAGCAGGCTTTCTCAAATTCTGCTTTATAAAACCTACACTAGAAAGCAGGCCTTTCCTGATTCATAAAGGAGTAAGCTCAAATGGGATATTGTGAGGGATATTCATTCAAGGATCATTTGTGTCTATGAATAGGTGAACAAAATACAAAGTTACCTACTTTGCTTTGTCTTTCACAGGTAATTCCTCTTAAGCAAACTTTTCACTGGCAAGGTAAGTCTCACCAGTTGATATCAATATTTACTTTTTAGTGTGAGTTTCATCATAAATATTTGGAGAACTGAGCCATATTTATGTAAATAAAATTTTTGTTTATATAGAGAACAGAAAAGGTTTTCCCCTGGATATATAGTGTGTATATAGCATATACATAGTATATGTAATGTATGTGTCTGTTGGTTTATGAATAGTTTTTAACCACCAGAACTTAAAAGAGCTTTTTACAAGTGATCACAATAAATCTCCTACCCTGTCTAAGTCTGTGTGTAAATTTTGTGTGAACACGTTCAAATCAAATTATTTTAATATACAGACTACATTCTGTAGTGTTCTTGCTTTGCTTTAGTCTGAATTTTTCTTTAGGACTGTCCTTTGTGGGTACAGTGTTATGGGGATGATATTTTAGAAGTGCCTAATGATCCTGTTCACATCTGGACTGCTCTTCAAACCGGTGTCTGCAGCACTGAGCTGCAGCAGTACACAGAGTCAAATAAATACCTTTAAACTCATACCTTCTGAATGCATAAAGCAAGAAAACATATTTTTGGACTGCAGCACCTCTGTCAAATCTTCTGGGCCGTCTCAAACAACAGCAAGTGAAGATATATGTCATATGTCTGTGGCTTCAGAGACTCATCCCTTGTTATCTGCCAGATCAGAATATATAAGAAATTTCATCATGCAAAAGCCTTCCCTGGGATATGCTGTGCAGCTGCTCTCCATTGTCCCAGTCTTTCAAAGTGCACAGGGTTTGTGGTTTCTATTAGCTGTAAGAGTGCCTGTAAGTACCTGGCGCTTCTGAAGATCAGACATCAAGTGGCTGTGTTACGATGCTCCTGCCCTTGTTCCACTCCTGATGTTTGCTGATGGATAAAAGGATTCGTAGGTATGTGTGCAGCTGTGAAAAGGGTGCTGCTTGAACACCAACCCAGGAATGTCGAACAAATGACCATCAGGACTAGGTTCTGAGCCCAGGACCCAAGGTGTGTGATACTGTCAGAACACTACTTTTGGCCCAGGTGGCTTTCTAGCTGTGGAGAGGGTTGGTAATGAAAAGACATGTGAGGGGGTATCAGCTGTGGCAGTGCAGTCTGGAGTTGCATGTGGCAGCTGTGACATGCAGTTTCTTTTCAATCTGACTTGTTTTCTGCATCTAGAAATCTTAAATTGACTATATGTTTTCCTCCAGGACAGAGTAATATAGTATTTTTCTCACTTGTATACACTTCTATATTATTATCTTTCTCTATTCAGAGGCCTCTATTAAACCCCTCCTGAAAAAAGAAGCCTTCTCTTGAAGGAACAGACTGGAGTGAGACATTATGATAAACTCATGGAGCTAGACAAATGGTGGTGTTATTGCACGAAAAAATTGAGGGTGAGAAGGCTAGAGAGCCCCATAAAAAGCTTTGGGAAGTTATAAAAACTCATTACCATCACTTAAGCAGAAAACAAAAACAAACCCCGGACAGATGCAGAAACAGAAACTATTAGTAGTAAAGGTTAAGAGATTACTATTTCATAATGGTGGCTCTCTGCTGGTGTAGTGACTAGATAAGATGGGGGAATGTCACGCACACAAAGGCTGCTGTATTTTACCCTTGGAAAGCTGTCAAGAGGATCTGCATAATACTTTGTACTCAGTGAGCAGACCATGTGCCAAATAGAGATTTTAATTTATATATAAAAAAATACATCTACAGACATATAAATTCCTCGGCTTTTCAACGTGAATCCGAAAAAAAGGTAGGAGACAACTAGTCAGATTTTCTTGCTGGCTTACCCTCTCCCCTCCCTCCCCAAGCGTGTAATTTTAAATTGCTATTTATATTTATAAGGGTTAATTTCAGGAATGTTCTTGGGATGCGCGGCAATTTACGGTTTGCGTTTGCGGAGCGCGTTCGCAGTACTTCCCCGTGTCACTTAAAGATAATCCACGAATGCTTTTAGCGGAAAAAACCCCCACGCCACGGTTCCCCGATGTTTATTTCACGCTCCCTTACCGCGTTTCCATGCCAGCCCCCCTCCCTCCCCCGCCGTGCACATCCCCGGGCACCTGCTGCTGCAGCTCAACCTCCTCCCGCGGGCCCCGAGCGCGCCCCCCTGTCCCCCCTGCTCCCTTTCCCTGCCCCGCGGCTGCAGCCCCGGCCCCGAAGGCGCCGTTCCGGCCGGGCTGTGGAGGGGTCCCGGCGCTCGCCCATCGCAGCGGGGGAGGGATGCGGGAGATGGGATGCGGGAGATGGGATGCGGGAGATGTGCGCGGGGGCCCGGCGGGGGCCGGGGCCGTGACAGCGCCGTGCGTTGGCCGCTGCGTCATGACATCCTCCGAACCGGCCCCGCGCACGGCCGGCGCGGGGGGGCCGCCGCCGCCTGCCCCCGCCCCACCGCGGCTGCGGAGAGCGCGGAGAGCGCGGCGGCGATGGACGCGCCGGGGCCGGCGGGACTTGTTGGACCGGCAGCTCCCCGGCGCGGCCGGGCACCGCCTCGCCGCCACCTGTGAAGCGCCTCGGCGACACACAGCCCACACCGCTCCCGCCTCGCCGACCTCCGGAGCGGTCGCTCGGCGTCCTCGGCGGCCCCGGGAGCGGGACCGAGCGGCCGCGGGGCGGGGAGCGCGGCGGGCGCTGCCCATGGGGCGCCGGGAGCCCGCCTGAGCCGGCGCCCCACACCCGCGGCGGCA